TACACTTATATGTAATTGTAAAAAACGACCATAAAAACTGCAAAACACAATATGTGAAACCGCAACTTTGCATGTATCTCCGCATGGATCTAACAAACCTTCATGCCAAATTTGATGAAGATCCATCAAAAGGGGAGCGAAGTAGTAATAAAAAACGCAAAAACGCCCATAAAATCTGCAAAACGTAAAGTACAAAACTGAAAATTTGTATGTATATCTCCTTAGACTCAATGAACCTCTATACTAAATTAGGTGGAGATCCTTCTACAGGAGGTGAGGTATTGGTAAAAAAAGACGCAAAAACGCCCACAAAAACTGCAAAATGCAAAACTGAAAATTTATATGTATCTCACCATGGACCTAATGAACCTCCATATAATTTTAGTGAAGATCCATGCACACTCTGCGAAGTAGTTACGTGGACAGACAACAGACAGTACTATTATATTTATATAGATACATACGTACTTCCATTTACCGTACACGATCTAACATTGATCAAAAGAGTATCCTGTAATTAATGAAACAATAATTAAAGAGACCATGTTGTTTTCAAGATTTAGACAGTACGTCAATAATTTTCTCTTGGATTATTCAATTATAGTTTCTCCCCTATATACGTGCACGTGCGTCAAATAGGCAACAAATTAACCTAGTAAAAAGTACTTGACACTGTTTTTTGTGTGTGGTAAAGAACAATATAGCCCCCCCCAAAAAAAAGCTTAGTAATAAACTACAATCATATGTCATGTATTGCACGGTTAATGACCAGATTCATATGGAACTGACCCTAAAGGTGGGTAAGAAACGAAACAAGGTCATGGAAAGTCTTTAATTAATGTTCTAAATAAAGAAAAAATACATTTCAAACTATATTTGTTTAAAACACGTGGTAATTTACTTGCTGTTTTTCGTAAGAATATTTCTTGTAGTGTAATTTAACAGTTGAATTTTTTTGGGTCCATGAGTTCCGTTTCAGCATCCATGTCACGTCTCTAAAATTTTATTATTTCACAAGTTACACAGCTGAAATGGTTAAGGTTCACTTGGTTTAGCGACGAATGGTTTCATTTTAGAAGTAGAAAAAAAGAGAGTATTTTCTGCAAGAATAAATTGTAATTTCACTTCTTCTTTTTTGCAAGAAATAGTTATGCCAGTTAACGTCATCAGATGTCATCTAAAATTATACCATATTCAAAAACGGTCTAATTTCCATTGGGTAATAATTAACGCCTTTCGAAGTTCCTGGTCTAAAAGAAATATAATAACGGTACAAGTACATCTGGATGACGAAGTACATGACGAAGTACATCTCAATGAAGAAGTTATGGAAGTTTCTTTAACAACTCAATACTAAAAAAATTACGATTTTTGTTTTCCTAAAAGGGTGTCAATACCAGAATTTGACCTTCTATTGACACAGTTATGTACGGAAACGGAGTACCAGCTTAAGAAAAACACGCCTTAAGTTCCTTCACTATGCATAGTGAAAAGACGTTAGGCCTTCTGGTGGAGCTAGTCACGGCAAAGACGCGAAGGAAGGTTATGGAACACCTCTTCATGTTAATATAATCCTTTTCGTTCGCATTCTCCACGTGCTGTCACAGTTCAGTGCCCCACGCTTAGTCCATCGACACTTAGATGACGGTTTTTGAATGGTCCACTTCACAAAATCGTCTGCAAACATTTGTAGGAAAGCCGTTAGGTGGCGTCTTTAAATTATTTCTTTGAGGTGAGATATTCAGTTATAACGGAGTTTCATGATGCCATAAGACGTGAGAAATTGTTAAAACCGAATATCCGTATATAAACTGTCTAAAAATCACTATTTGAAAAAAATTTACTAATTACATAATTTTCCCCCCGAAAACTGGCAGAAAGCCCGAATATGCGTTACTGTGCAATTTTTGTG